AGCGTATTTTGTCCTCTTGGGCAAAGTAACTGCTTTGGAAACAAAGCACACTCTGGGTATTTTCCAATACCCTTATGGTTTCTTTGAATTTCTATAACTTATTTTGTGTTTGTTTTGGCTTGTTTTGTTTTGTTTATGGAAGGAGGGCTCAAATTGCGTGGGCTTTTTTTTTTCTTTCTAATTTAGAACCCTAGGTCACAGCTAAATTTATAAAAATGATGGTATCAATAAGAATAACAATTGCATTCAAGGCACTGGACCAAACATGGAGTTTACGGGAAGAGGGGTAAAGGAAGAGAAAACCATGGTGCTAGACTTAAGAAGCTCTCACTCTGATCCTAACCCCATAGAGTCATGGAGAAAGAGCAATTAATGTAATTCTAACTGACAGTAGCCTTGAGGAGAGGTGACATTTGACTTGAGTCTTGAAGCGTTTTTTCTAAAATCAACTTCAAACATAAAAAAATACAGAAAGTTATATAATAAGCCCTCGTGTACTCACCAATTATTTTTATAAATACCAACTTGTTGCCTTTTTGCTTTAAATCCATTTTTTTAACCTTTTTTTTTCTCTTCTCCCCAAATCCCCCTGGCACATAGTTGTGTATTCTAGTTGTGAGTGCCTCTGGTTGTGCCATGTGGGACGCCACCTCAGCATGGCCTGATGAGGCATGCCATGTCCCCACCCAAGATCCAAACCGGCGAAAACCTGGGCCACCGAAGTGGAGCGCACGAACTTAACCACTCAGCCACAGAGCCAGCCCCTAAATCCATTTTTTTTTTTTTTGAGGAAGATTAGCCCTGAGCTAACATCTGCTGCCAATCTTCCTCTTTTTGCTGAAGAAGACTGGCCCTGAGCTAACATCCATGCCTGTCCTCGTCTACTTTATATGTGGGACATCGACCACAGAATGGCTTGCAAGCAGTGCCATGTCCGCACCTGGGATCCGAACTGGCAAACCCCGGGCCACCAAAGCAGAACATGTGCACTTAACCGCTGCGCCACCAGGCCGACCCAAAATCCATTTTTTCATTTTTATTTATTTATTTTTTTAATTTTTTTTGAGGAAAATTAGCCCTGAGCTAACTGCTGCCAATCCTCCTCTTTTTGCTGAGGAAGGCTGGCCCTGAGTTAGCATCCATGCCCATCTTCCTCTACTTTATATGTGGGACGCCTACCACAGCATGGCATTCCAAGCGGGGCCATGTCCGAACCCAGGATCCAAACTGGTGAACTCTGAGCCGCCAAAGCGGAACATGCACACTTAACTGCTGCACCACCAGGCCGGCCCCCTGTAGCTTTTTAATAGCCTTAAAAACTCAGGTAGACTACTTGCTCCCACTTTATTCTTTTTTTTCAAAATTGTTTTAGCTATTCTGGTTCCTTTCCCTTTCCACATAAATTTTAGAATAATCTTGCCTATCTATAAAAATTCTTGCTGAAATTTTGATAAGAATTGTGTTAAAAGTGAATATGAATTTGAGGAGAATTGACATCATCATTATGTTCAGTACTCCAATCCGTGTACACAGTGTGTCTCTCAGTTTATTTAGACCTTTTTTGACTTCTTTCTTCAGCCCTGTGTAGTTTTCAGCATACAAGTCTCATACACGTTTTGTTAGATTTACACGTATTTCCTTTTTTTAAGCTATTGTGAAAGGTATTGTATTTTAAATCTCAAATGTCCACATGTCATTGCTAGAGCGTAGAAATATAAGTGATTGTTCTAAGTTTATCTTATTGCCTATGACCTTTCTAAACTTACTAACCACTTCTAAGTGGTTTTTTTGTTTGTTTTTTTCCTTGGAATTTTCTATGTAGATAATTATATAATCTGCATGGGGACAAATTTTGATATGTTTTGTTTCCATTTTCATTGAGGTCAATGAATTTTTTTATTTCCTTAGAGACTTCTTTGACCCGTGGATTATCTAGCAGTATATGTTTAGTTTCCAAGCGTTTAGAGATTTTCATGTTATCTTTCTATTTTAATTTCTGGTTTGATTCCATTGTGGTTGGAAAACACACTCTGTATGATTTTGATTCTTTTAAATTTTTTGAGGTCTGTCTTGTGGCCCAGGATATGGTCTATCTTGGTATATGTTCCACTTGTACTTGGAAAGAATGTGTCTGCTGATATTTTTAGGCAGAGTGTTCTATAAATGTCGATTAGGTCGTGTTGGTTATTAGTGTTGAGTTCTATATCATTGCTGATTTTCTGTTTAGTTGTTCTATCAATTGTTGAGAGAAGAGTGTTGAAGTCTCCAACTGTAATTGCGGATTTGTCTATTACTTCTTTTAGTTCTAACACTTTCTGGTTCACATATTTTGCAGCTCTGTTGTTGGGTGTGTATACATTTAGGATTGTTATGTCTTCCTGGTGAATTGGCTCACTCCCCCCCCCCTTTTTTTTTTTGAGGAAGATTAGCCCTGAGCTAACATCTGTTGCCAATCTTCCTCTTTTTGCTTGAGGAAGATTGTTGCTGAGCTAACATCTGTGCCAATCTTCCTCTGTTTTGTATGTGAGATGCCGCCTCAGCATGGCTTGATGAGGGGTGCCAGGTCCTCATCCAGGATCCAAACCAGCGAACCCTGGGCCACTGAAGCAGAGCATGTAAGCTCAACCACTATGCTACTGGGCTGGCCCCACCAATCCTCTTCTTTTTGCTTGATGAAGGTTGTCACTGAGCTAACATCTGTGCCACTCTTCCTCTATTTTGTTTGTGGGATGCCGCCACAGCATGGCTTGATGAACAGTGTGTAGGTCTGCACTTGAGATCCAAACCATCGAACCACAGGCTGCTGGAGTGCTGAAGCATGCAAACATAACTGCTATGCCACCAGATCAGCCCTGATGAGTTTTTGGTTGGACATTTTTGTATTATGTTAAGAGACTCTGGATCTTCTTTAAACCTTCTATTTAAGCAGGCTTCCGGTGACACTGCTATGACAAGGAAAGGGGGATGCCACCTCCTTCTGTCAGGTGGAGACAGCGATTCAGGTTCCTTAGTTGGCCTTGGTTGACACCTGCATGGGGGGCTCCTTGTTACTATTGGTCAGAGGTGGGAGTTCTGACTCCCCATGTGGCCTCTATTGATACCTCATGGGATGGGGGGCTCATTACTGGCTGGTTGATATGCAAGTCCCAGCCCCCTCTTTGGCCTTCTCTGACACCATCCCAGCGGTGTGCTGGGGCACGTTGTTAACAGCCTCACAAGGGTGGAAGTCTAAACTCCCTATTCAACCTTTGCTGGCCTGGGTGGAGATGGGGCCACAGTTTTCTCTGTGGAGTTTGGCTGGAGTGGAGCAGCTATTGTCTAAAAGCTTTCCGTCTCGCCAGGCTGCCCCTTTCTCGTGCTTTTGGCTAGAGTGAGAAAGCTTTTGTCAGGGATTTTTTTGGTCGTGCCTGTTGGTATTTCCAGGTTGCCAGCTATTTCAATTCCAGGTCTGGAATATGTATGAGACAGAAAGAAAACCCAGAGAACTTACCACCATGTTATTCCTTGGGCCCTAAGATCTCTAGACAGTCTGTCTTCTCTCCACCTTTCAGAGTCTTCTTATGTTTGCTTTATATATAATGTCTAGGGTTTTTATTTGGCCTCAGCGAGGAGAATAGGGGAAATTACATGTATCCATAACTCCAAGGTTCATTGTTTTTAAGGAAATAAAATGTCATGGTTGCTGTTGAAGCCTCTTTTGTAAATTTTACCCAATCTCATGGTCCTCTCTCCCACCCCATGTATCTATCATGTTTGTTTTTATTTTCACATGGTAGGTTTTTTGGGGGGTATTTTTTGGTGAGGAAGTTTTGCCCTGAGATAACATCCATTGCCAGTATTCCTCTTTTTTTGCTTGAGGAAGATTAGCCCTGAGCTAACATCTGTGCCAATCTTCTTCTATTTTTTGTATGTGGGATGCCTCCACAGCATGCCTGATGAGTGGAGTAGGTCTGCACCCAGGATGTGAACCTGTGAACCTGGGCCGCCAAAGCAGAACGTGCAGAACTTTAACCACTCGGCCACAGGGCCGGCCCCAATATAGTAGTATTTTTGTGGTTTAAAAATTTACATGTCACATCTTACATAAAAATGCATCCAAAAAGCATCATAGACCTAAATGTAAAACATAAAACTGTAAAGCTTTTTGCAGAAAACATAGGTTAGTCAAAGTCTTCTTAGATATGACGTAAATAGCAATGAACCAAATAAGAAAAAGGTGATAAATTAGACCTCATTAACACTAAACAGTTTTGCTCTTTGAAAGCCAGCTTTAAGAGAATGAAAAGAATAAGGGGAAAGTATTTGCAAATTGCATATAGACTATATAAAGAAATCTCAAAATTCAAAAATAAGGAAACATCTAATTTTTTTAAATAGGCAAAAGATTTGAACAAATACTCCACCAAAGAAGATATACAGATGGCAAAGAATCACATGAATAGATGTCTAAATTGTTAGTAATTAGAAAATTCTAATTAAACCACAATGAAATACCTTTTAAAATGACTGGAAATAGAACAAAAACCTGACAACGCCGTATACTGTTAAGGATGTAGGACAATTGGAACTCCTATGCACTCACTATGGAAAACGGCTTGGCAGTTTCTTATAAAGTTAAATATACTTATCATATAATCTAGCAATCCCACCTCTATGTTTTTATCTAGGTGAAATGAAAATCTATGTTCAGGGCCGGCCCCATTGCCGAGTGGTTAAGTTCATGCGCTCGGCTTCGATGGCTCAGGGTTTTGCCGGTTTGGATCCTGGGCGTGGACACGGCACTGCTCATCAAGCCATGCTGAGGGGGCGTCCCACATGCCACAACTAGAAGGACCCACAACTACAAATATACAACTATGTACCAGGGGGCTTTGGGGAGAAAAAGGAAAAATAAACTCTTAAAAAAAATATGTTCATATAAAAACTTGTATGCAAATGTTTATAGCAGCTTTATTCATAATTGTCAAAAACCGAAATAACCTCAATGTCTTTCAATTTAGGATTGGGTAAACAGTGGAGTCCTATCGACACAGTGGAATACTACTTAACAATGAAAAAAGAACTACTGATACATACGACAACTTGAATGGAGCTCAAGGGCATTATGTTGAGTGAAAAAAGCCAGTCTCAAAAGGTTACATTCTATACGATTCCATTTATATGACATTCTGGAGAAGATAATAGTGACAGATTACAGATCAGTGGTTGCCAGAGAGTAGCGGGGCCTGGGAGAATGGAGTAAGGTTTGACTATCAAGAGGGAGCACTAGGGGATTTGGGGATGTGTGTGATGAAACTGTTCTGTACCTTGATTGTGGTGGCAGTAACATAACTGGACACATTTGTCAGAACTTATAGAACTGTTCACCAAAAAGAGTGAATTTTACTGTATGTAACTAAAAAGTAGAGAAAAACTTACATGAATGTTGTCATACTATACTCATCCTTCTGCACCTTTCTTATTCACTCAATATTTTTTTGTTTCCAGATCTATCCATGTTTTCAAATTCTTTCAATAAGTAGAAGAATGCATTCCAAGTGGAGGACTATTAGGAAGAAAGATCCAGGATTGATATGACCCTGGAATCATCTATGCACTTGATTCTAAAATGGAAAATGTCCTTTAAATGGAACAGGTTCCAGATGATCCTCTGAGGAGCTTCGCTTTGACGTGAAGCTGGACAGAGATGATCCATTGCGAGCCATTGACTCTGATCTTCAAGGCTCTTATTCTCAAAAGGTGAATTCTTTCAGGGACCTCAGCTATATGAACACTAAGTAAAGAACATGGGGAAACAAGTCTCTGCCTTCTCTCTAATTTGTTTTTGTCCAATCCTGTAAGAATCAAATTTATTTATACATACCGCATTGGAAAAAGTACCAGATAAGTTCTAGTCCTGTTTTAGCAACTAAATAGTTGTTGACACTGGCAAGTCATTTAACCACTCAGAGTTGCTTTCCTCTTCCATAAACAGTTGCATTGTGCTAGGTTATTCTAAGTCTCTTTCCACCTATAAAATGATATTTTCATTTGTTATGATGTTACATGATGTTAATCAAAACCTTCGAAGCATTTAGTTATCCATTCGACTGCCTGACTTGTCTCAGGAACTTTTCTGGGTGTCCTAGATACAATTAAGAATAAGAAAGAGCTCTCAGTTTAGGGGGTGCCACACAGCCAGGATACAATGTGTTGGTTGGTCAAGGCCTGTAGAGAGGGCCAACAAGAGCCAATATGGGAGTCGGGGAAGGACGAGAATGACAAATAAGCATCCAGACACCCCCCAAATTCACTGTTGCTTCTCCCTTCTTCACATCTGATTTTGTTTGAGGAAGAAAAGAGGAGGCCTCTACTCCCACTGGTCTTTCAGTGGGTGTAATGAACAAGACGCTTCAGACTCTCAGTCATGCTTATTGCTCAGATGTATATCCTCTCCAGTCTTCATTTCTTATCTAACAAAACACGAAATGAAGGCGTCTGAAACTGGAGGGCCTAGTGCTTCAGTAAATGTGAAGCTGTAAAGCTTTCCTAGTGATGAGTAAGCATTTAGAATCTAGTCGTTTTGGTTTTTTTATTTTTTCAGTGGTAACAGCCTAGCTTTGAGAAATGTGTGTAGCACATTTTCCCACACTTCTTCTAAAGAAACAAGAAAATAAATAAATATTCTAGGAGATGATTTTAGAGAATGAACATAATTCCTGCCCATTAATTACCACATGATTTGATGCCAGGAATGTTCATTTAAAAACAGTTAACCCAGAAGGTTAAGTGACAAGGGAAATTACTGTGGTAAAAATCCAACGGTCCATTAATACAATCTCACGTCTATGTGGAAAAGCATGAAAAAATTAAACATGGAATAAATATCATATTTCTATTAGGAATATATTTGTCAGAGATGGAATAGACTTTCTGTAGAGGCTAGAGAACCTCCATTAGTCAGAAAACTTTTATTCAAGTTTAAATAGGAAATGGGAAATTTTTTTTTAGCACATTAACATCTAGTGTTGTAACTCTTACTGAAATGTATAAGCTTTCCTGATTTTCCAGTCACAGAAGCATCACCACAGTTGTCAACCTTTGAAGACTAAGGTATTGCAACATCGTGATGAAGGCAAACTACAGTAGATGCCAGAGTTGAAGACCAGTCCTCAAACCTCAGGTGGACCCTAGAAAATCCCTCTGGAGAGACAAATTCCTGATGCCAGCCTTAAAACACTGTTCAAACTCTCTCCTTTCACCAGGCTGTAGGGAACAACCAACAGTTTGGCAAAGGACAACTTCCACCACGTTGACTCTGGCCAATTGAGATTCTATTGTCTTCAGAGAAGAATGCTCACGAGTATAGATGCTGAATAACATAGTGGATCTCAAGGAATTGTCCCCCCAAATACTTTTTACTTACCAAAGGTAAAATAATAATTTTACAGTGGGGAAACCTGGCAGACACCACCTTAACCAAATGACCAAAGATAACCTTGCAGCAATGGGACTAATCAGTATTAGTCCCATTGTCTCCTCATAGGACGCTCTGAGAAGAACTCAGCCTTATTCCTGTGATATTCTACCAAAAGCGCATGACTTGAATCTAGTCATAAGGAAACATCCAACAAATCTGAGTAGAGGGAGAGTCTACAAAATAACTGGTCTGTACTCTTCAAAAATGCCAGTGTCGAGAGAAAGACAGACTCAGGAAACTGTTCCACTTCACAGGAGACTGAAGACACAAGATGACTTAATTCAAATCTTGGATTGTTTTTGCTGTAAAAGACATTGTTGGGACAATTGACAAAAATCTTAATAAGCTCTGTAGATTAGGTAATAACATTGTTTCATTGTTAATTTCCTGGTTTTGATCATTGTCCTATGGTCACGCAAGGGAATTCATGCTTTTAGGAAATACAGACAAAAGGTCATCATATCTGTGGCTTACTCTTAGATGGGCATGAGAGCAAATGATGGAAATGATGGAAATGCTCCATATCTTGACTGTGGTGGTGGTTACAATGGTTACACGAACGCACCTATTTGTCAAAGTTCATCAAACTTAAATGCATGAATTTTATTGTTTGTAACCATACCTCAATCAATAAAGCTGATTTTTTAAAAATGCTTTTCATTTTGATATTGTATATTATTTTGTGAAGTAACTACTCAAGTAATAAGTCATATGAACTAATTTTCTGGGTTTTATGTGTATAATTTTGTGTTGATTGATTGATTGCCTAATCTGATGCATGAAATTCAATAAATTGTCACTGAACTGTTAGAAGCTCACTGTCTCCATTGTGTCATTTTATCTCATCTATTGTAAGTAGTTTGCAACTAGGCATGCGAGTTCTCATTCAAATCTTGCTTGCTTTTTTTTTTAAAGATATTATTTTTCCTTTTTGTCCCTGAAGGCCCCCGGTACACAGTTGTATATTTGTAGCTGTGGGTCCCTCTAGTTGTGGCATGTGGGACACAGCCTCAGCACGGCTTGATGAGTGGTGCCATGTCCGCCCCCAGGATCCGAACCGGCGAAACCCTGGGCCGTCGAAGCAGAGCACGCGAACTTAACCACTCAGCCACGGGGCCGGCCCCTCTTGCTTGCTTTTTAAAGAGCTGAAAATATTTTCTGTCTAAAAACATTTCTTCTTGCCAATAAAAGATATATTCAACAGAAAACAACCCCTATATTTTGTATTATATAAAAATAAAACAAGAAAAAAGGAGAAAAGCATGTTGGCTGCTTCAAAGGAAATGAAAAACTAGGACTAGGGCCACTTCTGATCGCTAAATAATAGGATTTCAGTTGTTCTGTGTCCCACAGGAGCTCAGCTATTAACTCAACTTAGGAAAGAGATTGCAAAATGGACTGTTTCCTGTTGTGAAGAGATTCTGATGCCTTTACATTGCATTACCAAAGGCTTCGAGAAAGGTGAGCAGCCAGGGTCAGCAAATACCATAGAAATTGGCTCTCGGACCTCAGGAGTGAAAGACTGTTAGTACAAGAAGAAGTGATTCTGACTGACACGTGGATTTGGACCTGACCCACATTAGCAAGGCAGCATGGGGCTGTCGGCTGCCTCCAGGGGCCAGAGCTTAACAGAAGTGAGCTGGAAATGTGGCAACTTTCATTCATTCCGGCTCTACCAAATTAGCCAGGAGTCCTTATATACATGACTTCTCTGTGACTCGGTTTCTTCACCTACAAGACGAAAGTTTGCACCCAGTGTCTAACATCCTGTGATTCTGAATCCCAGCATCTTTGGTATGGAACACAGAGATCTTTGCTACCCTGCTGATTTCTACCACTTCTCTTCCCCTTGTTTCCCGAATCCAACCATATTTTCACATTCATTGTCTATCGTACTACATGGGACATTCTTTGGATAAGAGGAAACATTTGAATTGTTTCCATTGTGGTTTCTGCTTACTGGGAGTAAGCAACTTACTGGGTTTTGCTTACTAATTCCTGGGAGTATCCATAAAACCACACAGCATGTTTGGTATCAGGGTGCAGACAGAGCTAATAGATAGAAATGCTTCATGTTTGCATAACTTACGTCTCCAAGAATTTCTAAGTAATTGAACAACTTTGTCTAGCAGACAGTAATAACATTTGCGTGAAGGAGCCTGTCGGACATCTATTCCCCTCCTTCCTTGGGCTTCACGCTTTAGCTCTGGATCGTCCTCTCTTGACTAGACTATTATAATTTCTTAAATCTTTTCTTGACTTCAGAACACACCCCTCCAATCCATCCTTTAGACAATGCTTCTTAAAGTATCATGTGCATCAGAATCATCTGGGATTCTTATTAAAATGTAGATTTCGATTGAGCAGGTCTGGGGGAAGGGTCTGAGATTCTGAATTTCTAACACGTTCCCAGGTGGTGCCGATGCTGTTGGTCCTCAGACCACACTTTAAGTAGCAAGGCTAGGCTGCTGCTAAACACTCTTGCTAAAATGTGAATCTGACCGTGTTACTCCCCTGTACAAAACTATTTATGGTTCCCCAAACATAACAGGCTGTTTCACACCTCTGTGCTTTATTAATATAGCTCCCACTGCCTGAAGTCACTCTGCGCGCTCCCGCTTCTGACTGGGAACGCCTCCTTCTCTTGCAAAGCACAGCTGTGTGGCAGCCTCTTGGATGACGCCTCTTCTGACATCCCCAGTTAGAAATGAGCACCCTCCCTCGGGTCCCCGCTGCTCCCTGTCAGCACATCCATCTCATGACACTGAGGCATTTATTTGTTTGCGTGACTTTCTCCCTCATTACATTCTGTCAACCACAATTCCTTATGCCATATTCTGACCTCAGCTCAAATGTCATTTCCTCAGAGTTTCCCTGACCACCCCCAGCAGCCCTCCCGTCCCCACCTTGTCACTCTCTATTATGCCCTGCCTGTTTCTTTCAGAGCACCATTCACATCCTATGATGATCTTATTTTCAGTTTTAGTAGCAGCTGTCTTTTTTGATGCAATGAGACCAGTAGTTGGTAAATTGATTAAAAATTAGACACTAACATTGGAGAATCATAAAAAGTGATATATATGTATGTTAAGTATTTTTGTGAAAATATAAATAAATGCACATTCATTTTTCTCGATTTTATCCTAGAGCTAAGACTAGGATCCTGACGATGTGTCTGTTGATTCAAGTTCAGCATCGTATTTCTTGCATAAACTATAGCCACAAAGCATCATCTACAATTTCTGGCTTTAGTTTCCTTAAAATGGAGTGTGAACATAAGGAAACTTAGCAAGGTTAAAAAATTTTCCCTTATCTTTTACAATTAGGTCTTGCCCACGCCTAATTTAACAGCATTGTTTAAAAGCAACCCACCATTATCAAATCTTCCAAAGCATGTAATCTTGTTTTTTTTTTAAACAAACATTTTATTTTGGAGTAATTTTAGATTTACAGATAAATTGCAAAGACGCGACAGAATCCCTGAATACCCATCACGCAGTTTTCCCTGTCGTTAACGTCTGCATTTGTCAAAACTAAGAAACCAACATTAGTACATTATTATTAACTAAATTCCAGGCTTTATTTGGATTTTACCACTTTTTCCATTGTCTCTTTCTGTTCTGGGATCCAATCCAGGGAGCCACGTGGCATTCAATTGTCTTGGTTCCCCAGTTTCCTCTGGTCTATGAGAGTTTCTCAGTCTTATTTTTTCATGATCTTGATGGTCTTGAGAAGCACTGGTCAGATATTTGTAGAATGTCTCCCAATATCCGATGTTTTTCTCATCATTAGACTGGAATGATGGGTTCTGGGAAAGAACACACCAGAGACGAAATGCCATCCTCAGGCCTAAAATATTTATTTGCATCACTGTTGATAGTAAGCATCATGTAATTTAATTTTTATAAAAATAATGCTCATCCTTTCTGCAGTTACATCTCATTAGTTTCCATACTATTTCACCAAATAATGTAATCAGAAATATAAATACAATGGCACACACAGGACGAGGAGCAAACCCCACTGATTCTCCAACAGCGTGGGTCTCTGCTGGTGGGAGCAGAGTGCTTAGAAGCCCAGCCGTCTGCCTGACCAGGGCATTGGTCAGTGGGTTTTACGACGGCACAGGAAGCATTGGCTACTTCAATATTATAAATTCATTGAGAAGGGAAATGAGCATTAACCGTTTACTTTAGAGACTGAGAGCTTACTCTCTCCCTTCCATAAGTGGAGGTGAGTTAAGAGATCCCCGGTGCTTGCTAATTGTCTGTTTCCCTCCTCTCCCATGAGTGCAAGGAGCTTGTCTGACTTAGTGATCGCTGCATCCCCACCACTTAGCACAGTGCCTGGCACACAGTGGGAACTCATGACATGCTTGTTGAACGAATACGGGAACAGTGCAGACTTGAGGTGTGTGTCCTCAGGGTCCAGTCAGGAGATATTTGAACAGAGAGGACTTCATTGTTAAGTAAGTAAAAATTTGTTGGTAACAGATAACACAAGTGTAAAAAGATAGCACTAAATTGTCATGGAAGCAGCAACTGGTAGGAAGCAGCTGTCAGCCCTAGGGCTTAGGAAACAGAGAAGGGGCTGAAATGATTGAAACTTAGATGCTTGGGGGAAAAGCCCACCAAGCTGAAAACTAGACTCTCAAAGAGGGGTGCCAGCTGGCTGGTGCTGATGTCTCACAGGGGGTGTGATGAGACCAGCCCTGTCAATGCTGTAAATGCTGCAAACTGGATTCATTGCTGCCACGGGCAGGAACTGCTGCTACCGGGGTAAAGAAGCCTGGCCAGGTGTTGCTCCCAGGAGCAGGAAGTGGTTGGAAGGAGCATGTCTTTCTCCTTCCTCCAGCCCTGCAGTGACCCCTAGTAATCCCCTGGCGGCAGAGCCTTGTAGGGAGCCAAACACAAAGCAAAAAATGTGGTTTGCAGAGCCTCAGCCCCAGAATCACAAAGCAGAGCGCAGAAGGATGGGTTTGGAGCTGAGAGAAGACAGCTCAGTGACTGTACAGGTACAAATTCAGGCACAGTAATTAGTGCATCTCACCTCCCCAATTTTCCCTTCTTACCCATACCACTGCAGGGCCTTAGCACCCATTTCTTGGCTCCTTTCCTTTCTGGTACCTTGAGGGGGGTCTCTAGATGTGACTCAGCTACAGTAGAAGTGTGTTTGGTAAGCAGATTTCAACACTGCCCTTGTTTCCAGGTCAGCGACCAGGGTTGCCATGATCATGGCCAGGGGTCTCATCTCGCTCTTCCCGATAGGGAGTAATTCCTCCTCTTCTGGACTCTGCTCTCTTAAATGTGCCCATATCTGGAGTTACTTGGACCCAAAATATCACATGGTTAACTAGACTATTCTTTTCTTTTCTTTTCTTTTGAGGAAGATTAGCCCTGAGCTAACTGTTACCAATCCTCCTCTTTTTGCTGAGGAAGACTGGCCCTGAGCTAACATCCGTGCCCATCTTCTTCTACTTTATATGTGGGACACCTACCATAGCATGGCGTGCCAAGCAGTGCCATGTCCGCACCTGGGATCCGAACCAGTGAACCTTGGGCCACCAAAGCAGAGCATGCAAACTTAACCGCTGTGCCACCGGGCCAGCCCTTTTCTTTTAATTTTGCATAAGGTCCTTTCCTCCCCAGGTCGTTGACACACCTCCATTTTTCTGGCTGGGTCAGGTGTGGGCACACGGACGAGTGACTCCAAATTTAAGACGTAGGTAATTTCTGAATAACAGTCACAAATGGAGCAAGCTGAAATCAAGCCTTTACTCTCTGTTCCAATTCTGGAAGCCCACTCAAACCATGAATCAATAGCTGTTTATTTTGACAATAAAATAAAATACAAGTTGAAGCATTAATAAACAGTCGAGAATGTGAAACCAAACATTTAAGATAGAAGCTGTTTTGCAAATGTTTCTTTGAGGAAATTTTTCTTCCTTGAGGTTTCTTAAAATATAAGTCCAGTAGTTTGGACTCAAGATGGCTTTCCTTCCTGGTAAATCTGCTCAGCAAACATAGCTGTTCTTCATCGCCAAAAAGGACTTGCAAATTGAATTTAAAATTATGATAGTCTTTCTTGGGGCGGGAGGAATGATATTGTCAATGTGTTGAGCACTAAGGCTTCCAAATGCTTTGAATGGTAAATTCTAGAAGAGGGAAAGAGGGGGATAGTAGTTTCATGATAGCATTACTTTGCTAGTTGTTTCATTAAGGTTACATGCCTAGTGCTAGTCAATGATCTTAACTAATTTGGGGGAAAATCTTCTATGTTCCTAGATCAGAAGCTTCCCCTTCCCGCTGAACTCTGATGTAATGCCAGCCGGCTCAATTCCTACAGTGACCGAATCATTCTTCACTTGGGTTACAAACATTTTAGTGAGGCTGCTCTTAAGCATTTCAAAGTTAAAAAATAATAATGTCAATAGGCAGACCACAGCGAATTTTTAGGGCAGTGAAAACTATTCTGTGTGATGCCATAATGGTGGATATAGGTCATTACGCATTTATCAACAGCCATAGAATGTACAACACCCAGAGTGAATCCTAATGTAAACTATGGACTCTGGGTGATAATGATGTGTCAGTGGAGGTTCATTGATTGTAACAAATGTTTCACTCCAGTATGAGATATTGATAATGGGGTTGGATGTGTGTGTATATAAGGCAGAGGTATATGGGAAATCTGTACTTTCTGCTCAATCTTGCTCTGAATCTAAAACTGCTTTAAAAAATAAAATCTATTAAGAGAAATAGTAAAATAAAATAAACCCTTTGCTGAAATCATTGCTTGGTTTAAAGGCATCCACCATTAATTTTTTTCTCCTGAGGAACCCCATGGTTTCCCTTTCAATTTAGTGTCTATTGTCCTCTCCCACTCTCCCAAGCCAAATTCACCATCCCTGGGAGGGAGTGGCAAGGGAGAAGGGTTATGTACATAGCAGTTGTGGTATCAGACATACCTGAGTGTCAGTTCTGGATCACCCAGAAACCCACGTCACCATAGGTCTTTCAATGGTGGGGACCGAGTCCAGTTTATCTTGGCTTTCCCAGCACTTAATGTAGTGCCTGGCACATATCATTTGCTTGATAAATGTTTACCAAGTGAAAGAATCAATGAATAAATGAGGAAAACAAATGGGGATTCGAGAGCTGAGTAGAGACATGTGGTGGAGAAAAGATTTGAAGAAAAAATGAAACTGGCAAACAGCCATTGATGATTAAGTATCTAGGTACTAAAGTTTTTTTCCTTTTAGCAGTGACTGATTATAGCTTTTAGCTGTTTAACCCACCCATTGTTAACTGTGCGGTTTAGGCAATATGCTCTCTGACTCCCACTAGGCTCCTATAGATGACCTCTCCCTGAAGCCTGGGTCACCATAGAAATGGGTGTGTGAGCTGTTTTTCAGGAATTAGAACTCCTTGTCCACTTTAGGCCAGTTGAGATCACCAACTCATCATCCAGGCCTGCACAGATGTCTGAGAGGAGACCCTTTGACATAAAGAAGCTAAAAACTCCACCCTCAGATCATGCTAACACCACCATTTTGTGAATATGTGTCTTAGGAAGAGGCATGAAGTCTGACTAGGCTTGTGTCGATCATCAATTACCTCACCTCTCCTCACCTCCAATCACCTCTCTCCACATCTCAAACCACCTTGCCCCCCACCCCATAAATACCCCTGAGTCCCTATTTTCGGGGAAGCGAATTTGAGGCTCATGCTCTCCCTTCCTCACATGGCTGCCTTGTGAGTAAACCCCCTCTCTGCTTCAATCTCACCGTGTCGGTGTTTGGCTTTCTGGATGGCGGGCAAAAACAAACCTGGTTAGGTAACAAAAAGAACAGAGAGATAGCAAAGCTTATATTTTTAGTATGCTTTCTTCTGTTCCCTGGCAACTCCTATGCGAAGAGCTGCAGATACTGAGTCAGGAAGCCTCAGTCCAGGTTTAGAAAACATTGTCAGGGCGACAGAAAAATCTAGTCCCTTCCTTCCTCTTGGCCTACCTCAGCCTGACTCCTTGCTTGGGAACACGTAGTTCACAAGCTGACATTTCCAACAGGGATGCCTTAGAGAACCCCAAAAATTTCAGTATCCTGAAATAAAGTGAACAGAAATGTTGGGCATGAGACTCGGTTGGGTCAGATACAGCCACAAAAATACACATGCGCAGACCACAGGTTGGAGAGAGATTTTGAAATGTGTAACAAGGAGCACAAATGAATTCAGACCAATTTCAACCTTCAACTTTGCAATATAGTCTGACCAGGGCAGGAGTCATAAACTGGGGGCCCAGGGCTGCATCCAGCTCATAGATAAAAACTGTCTGGCCTAGATGTTTTTTTTTATTATTATTATTTTCATTCACCGCCAAGATTTAGAAATTGAGAAATTTCCGATTAAATCTGTATTTCCGGCTTCTCGTGAAAAAGCAGATCTGAGAAGAGCTGGCCTGGATTTCCTCATGGTCACAATGTGCTGGCGAGGGGAGGAGAAGCTTTCTCCACCTGGCCTGCTTTGCTCTTTAACCCACCAGCCTGGCCCTGAGGATGCTGGCATTCACGTCCTCTGCTTCTCTGGGCACTGCCCAGAAGGGGCCTTCGGGGGAATGAAGCTGATGCTGAGGGCAGACTTGTGATATATTCTTGAAAGGATAATATTACACTAATGAGCCATTCTGTTTAGCAGGAATCGAAGCTTCCTGGAGCCTTTCAATTACAAGCTCAGATAGAGAATGTCACAGTACTGTAATTGTATGGAGTGATTTAAAGATACAAGGGTCAATTTTTATAAATAGGACCAATTGTTTCTCCTTTACTCTGGTCCTTTTGGCCCATTCTAAACCGCAGGAGAATGCCTTTATTTTTATATCCCGTATATATCTGGGCCAAATGTTCAAAGGAAGGTAAGTTTCTTCCACATTTAACACTTCACCAGAACTTAAATTAAGCAAAAACTGCTTGAGGAATAGTCTAAAAATCTGGCCGAATTATGAAATTTGCACTTATTTGAAATACCATTTCCTACTGACATTTCCCTTCCAGCCGCCTTGGCAATAATGTAAGAATTATTTATGACTCGGCATTTCCCCACCACAGCTGCCCACAGGACAGAGCGTGAACCGAAGAAAAGAAAAGAACCACGCTGGCTTCACCCTTTCAGCTTTGGCCCTCCTGGCTGAGAAGAGGCCAGTTCCCCCAGGAGGCAGGGCTCAGGCTGCACGGGGGCCAACTTGGGTTCAAATTCTGGCTCTGGAATATTCCAGCTATGTGACCTTGAAGCTATTGTCTACAACAAGGGTCAGCACACATTTTCTGCAAAGGGCTGGTTTCTTCTGAGGCCTCCCCACTTGGCTTGTCTTCTCTCTGTGTCTTCACCTGGTCATTCATCCCTCTGTCTCTGTTGTCTGTGTCTTAACCTTCTCTTCTTATAAGGGCACCAGTCATATTGGACTGGGGCCCACCCTAATCAGCTTGTTTTCACCTTAATCTCTTCTTCAAAGGCTGTATTTTCAAATACAGTCCCAGTCTGCGGTACTGAGAGTTAAGATTTCAATATATAACTTAAGGGGGAGGCACAATTCAACCCATCACAGTTAGTATGTAAATGAGCGATGAGTAGGCATGGCTGTGTTCCAAGGAAACTTTCCCAAACCAGGCCAGCGGCCAGATTCGGCGTGTGGACCCAGGTTTGCAGATGACTGGTCTTCACCGTCTACACTCCCTCCCTTCCCACTTACTCCTCAATCAGCTCTCACTGGACTCTCACTGCATTATTCCACCTAAAGCCCTCACCCAAAGGTCACCAGTGGCCTCATCTCTCTGGCCCCCCCACAGTGTCAATTCCACACAAGGGACTTCCTAGTGAGCCTTTCTTCCCTGGAGTCTAGGGAGGCCACACTCCTTGCATTCCTCTGACTTCTCTGGCGGCTCCCTCCCTCCTCTTTTGCTGGCACTCCTCCCCTCCCAGCCGCTAAATGCTGGACTGCCTTAAAGCTAAGTGCAGGGGCTGGTCTGGTGGTGTCGGTGGTTAAGTTCCCGCGCTCTGCTTCAGTGGCCCGGGGTTTGTGGGTTCAGATCCTGGGCGCAGACCTAAGCACCACTTATCAAGCCACTCTGTGGCAGTGTCCCACAAATAAAATAGAGGAAGATGGGCACTGATGTTAGCTCAGGGCCAATCTTCCTTAGCAAAAAGAGGAGGATTGGCAGCAGATGTTAGTTCAGGGCTAATCTTCCTCACCGAAAAAAAAAAAAGCTCAGTGCAGAGGTCCCTTCCCTTCTTGCAATATAATTTCTTCCAAGGTGATCTCATCAACACCCCTGATTTCAATTACCCTCTAATCAGCCCAAGACTTCCGAATATGTGGCTCCAGCCCATGCATCTAACTACCTCCTTCCTCTTGTCAGTGTTTCCGTAATTTTTGTGTTGTGTGTCCCGGTTCTTCACTGTTTGCTTTTCTTTAACCACTATAATCTCCAGGGTAAATTTAGTTCTGTTCTAAAGCCATTTCCAGAGGCTAACTTCCCTGACCTGCCTCCCCGCCCCACAGGCCAGGTCAGAACTCTTTTGTCTGCTGTCTGGGCATGCTGTTTAATTTTTCTTCATTCTTCACAGTTTGTTATCGGAAATTTGTGTGAGTGTTCGATTGATGCCTGCCTGGTAAACCCAAGAGACGCAAGGATCCCATCTGTTGTTCTCCGTGTATCTGAGCACAGAGCACAGAGCCTGGCGCATACTCGGGCCTCAACCAATACGTGTGGGATGATTGAGAAACTTCCGGTAAATGAATTCAACTCTCCGGGCTATGGAGAACTGTTGTTTGGTCTCAGTTCAGGATATTTTGTGTTAGGCTCTGCTTGTTTAGTTTAAATTATGACCCTCAGGAAGGCTTTCCACTTTATATATGTATATTTTTTGCCATTCCTTCTACTTTCCTGAATTCCCCTTGTGTAGAGAATGGAGATCCTTGGAAGAGGGAACACACTGCCCTTTGAGAATTTCTTTAGTTTTTGTGTATAAGGGAAAGGATAGAGCCCTGGAGGCAGACAATTCTGGTTCAAATTCCGAGTCAACTACTTATTAACTGCATGATTAACCTTGAGCAGGTTGCTTCACCCCATTGCTCGTCAGTTTCTGCACCTACAGAATGATGACCTTAACACTCACCTGTGTTAAATGTGTAGGGTGTGGACAGGGCCTGGCATTGTGAAGCTTCCTTATTCATTTCACAAATCTCTTGTGTGCCCACAAATGGGACAGCCATTGGTTCAAGCACTGGGGGTACAGCAGTAAGTGAATCAGACCAGTCCTGCACCTGCGGGCTCCCATTCTGGTGGCAGAGACAGGCAGTATAGACAAATGAAGCCAGTTGAGGGTATAGAGATTGAGCTGGTGGGGGAGAAGTGGGACATTTTAGCTGTGGAGTTGAGGGCAAACGTCCCCAGTGAGGGGAATAGAAGCGGACAGCAGAATGAGGCGAGAAGCTGCAAACCTTCATTCTCCCACGCCCCTGCAGGGAGAATTCCTACTCCACCGGGTTACCAGAGAGAAAGCCTCGTTCCAAGGCCTTTCCATCTGTGTGAGAGCAGCGCCAACTGAAAGAAGAGGTAGGACTCAGGAGGCTGTGGGCCGTGATGGGCATGGATTGTTCCACCCAGCTGGGGATTTGTTGTGTGTTGGTTTGATATGATTTCAAATCCACTTGTTTATGACTTCAGTGAAGTTGTTCTAATCCACTTGTTTGTGGCAAAGACAAAAAAAAGTTGGTGCGTTGATATGAGAATCAAGTAAGTTGTGTGGGGATGTCATCATCTCCTTTGTTGTCATTGATAAAGGACTACTCAGTGGCACAGCTGATGACGAACATTGCTGGGGGTTGATCAGTATGAACGTGGACGATCAGTCATGGTGAAATCTGCACAGTGGCCTGGAGGAGACGATGGAACATCTACCCACCCACCAACAGTGTCAGCATCATTCCCTAATATCATGCTCCAGCAACAAGGGACTTTTCACCTTGGTTTTGTGCTGGCAGCGGGATCTCAGCATTTGCTTGGCCAAGCTGTCTCTCCCAAGTACCTACTCATATAAATAGATACCTTGATTTAATTTGGGCTTTATTCCTTTTCTTTTTCCTTGCCTGGAACAGTGGTACGATTAATCTATCCCTGGTTTGGAGTACATTATATATTTTTTTATTGGCTTATTAAGAGACATTATGCTGTGTGTTACGGGCTTGTGAACCATCCTAAATCCCACAGCAAATCTGTATTAAATAAACTATTAGCAAAGACAGTCTCAGTCTCGGAGCATAACTTTGCCCCCCAAGACAAAGCAGGATTCCATGTCAAGGTCTTGGGTTTGGTTTCCATATCCAGCAACAGTTGTTATGCGAACTAGATTAGGCACTGAGAAATGCGTCTGTGTAATGGAACTTCTGCTTGGAGGACAATAGGTAAAAAATAAAGCTCCATGAAATCCCACCTCGCAGTGGGTTTGAGGCGGCAGCTGGCAGGTTGGTTTTGCCTTTGCTTGCCTGTGAATAGAAACCTAATGAGTCAAAATGCAGCCAGCCTGGAATAACTAGAACCTTAAGACTATACCGGGAAACCTCAAGCCTTACTCTGGCCCCAGGGATCCAAGAAGGCAGTATGGCTGATCTGGCTGCGCCCTCGGTATAGCTGCTTATCTTTCCACATCTGAGCCTTCTCGAAAGAGTAGGAATGACTCGGTTGAATTATTGCCCTGGAAGGTTGGGCTTGAATAAAATTCAAAAGGCTTAAGATCTCTGCGCGCCATTTCTCTCCAGTAGGCCCCATACACTTTCTCCTGTAGAGTCAATGGGAAGGAATAAGGAGGATAGAATCAGATCTCCCACTAAGAACCCAGATACATTTTCTAGCATTCATAAACCCAAACAAAAGGACTGCCTCCTATCTTCAGAATCCCTCGCCAGCTGCACAGCTTACAGCATCGAGGAAGCGAGTCCCTATTATGTGAGAGATACTTCTGGCTGCCTGGGGGCACCAAGAATTATCAACCTGTAAATAAAGCATTTCAGTCAGATGAGTGGTTGAAGCCCAGAAACACTCAAGAAATTAGTGAGCGTGTCGATATATTAAGATTTAGGAAGCTGAGATTTTTTAGAAACATTTGACGGATCACCAATTCACAAGTTCTTATGGTTTTGAAACTCCAACACAGCCAAGGGGTGTACGTACAATTGCCCCAGCTCAATAGCTGAAGAGGGTAGTTTGGAAATTGATACGCGTCTATTCCTGAGGCAAATCTCCTAGCAAGGAAATCAGACTCTTAGATATCTAAAAGTCTCAAACAAAACCATTACGTATCCAGGTATCTTTCAGTCTAGATCAAGGTGAAGAGCTTTAATTAAAAAATGATACATCAGGGGCTGGCCCCGTGGCCGAGTGGTTAAGTTCGCGCGCTCCGCTGCAGGCGGCCCAGTGTTTCCTTGGTTCGAATCCTGGGCGCGGACATGGCACTGCTCATCAAACCACGCTGAGGCGGCGTCCCACATGCCACAACTAGAAGGACCCACAACGAAGAATATACAACTGTGTACCTGGGGGCTTTGGGGAGAAAAAGGAAAAAAATAAATTCTTTAAAAAAAAAAAAGAAATGATACATCAATAAAATAAGGGTATATAGCATAGAAGACATTTGCTTTTTCTCATTTACTCATTTCAGTCAACATTAGGGGCGCCTACTTTGTACCAAGTACTCTTCTAGGTGCTATAGAAGAATGAAAAGATGAATTCAACCCATTCTTGGGCCTGGAGAGCTTCCGCTTGGGGGTGGTATGAGGTGGAGCTGAGCTTGTAGAAAGAGAGAGAAGCAACCCATGATTTCTTGTGCCTAAGAGATGGCCTATGGCTAAGAGCTGGCCAGAAGTGTGGCAGGTTGATCTGGGGAGCCAGACCTGTTAATCTGACATCAGGCCACTTGACCAGCTGCTGTGGTTCCATTCAGCTCTAAGCTTGGGGAGCATAAAACGTGTGTCCTCCCACACACAGCCCATTCCTTGGATCACTCAATGTGCCCCCAATGACCAAGCGTCTCCTCTGAGAGTGTGGCCAGTTGGACCCCTAACTAGTTTGTTTCCTAGGTTTTAATAATAAAAGATCTCATCTTAAAACTCTATTCCCTCATTTTCAAGGTTTGAGACCCTTCTTTCCTCTTCAAAGGGAAATTACTAACCATAAGGAATGATGAACTGGACATCAAGGGACAAGAAACATTCTGAGTCAGACTGACTTCCAGAATACCTGAAACATTTCCAGACTGATTACAAGTTCAGTCACATTTCTGGTAGAACTATGCAACAAAAACCAAACAAATTATGCAGTCGAGCATCAGAGCTTTAATTGGACAAACCATCTTAATGCGTTTAGTATATTTTAACATATATTTAACATATTCCTTTCAGAATTCATCTGAATTTAGAAATTAGACAAAGATACTCAAAAGACATATGAAGACCACCTCTGCTAATTTATACAGAGACTATCTCTGGGAAGATATAAGACCCTAGTACCCGTGGCTGCCTCTGATGAGAGGAGCCAGGTGCCTAGGAAACAGGAAGTGCATATGTGGAGGTTTTCCCACTGTGTTCACGTTTGAATTTCTCGAATTTTGTACCATGTTGATGTATTACCTCCTCAAAAATAAATAATTTTTTTATTACACATGAAGAAAGAGCTGTAATATTTATTTATTTTTGTCATGAGGTCACTCTTCCTGTCACTCTTCTTCTAAAGTAAGAAATTCTCTCAAGGCCTGAGGAAAACGATGAATTCAACTTTTCCTGACAGGAACGGCAAAGTCTGAAAATGATGCCTGATGGAGAGAATGAAGAATCTTGGCAAGAGACGTGGTGCTGACAGATGAAGAAACGCGTGTCTGACAGAATCTGGACTCGTCACCAAAGCTGAGATGGAACAAAAAGCTAAATGTGTTTGGAATTATGTCTTCCTTCTTATTGTCAATTTATTCAACTGATCGAGGCACTTTCTAGTCATTGCCTGCAGCTTCCGTCCTCAGCCAACGCATTGTGGGGACTGTGGAGTCTTTTTTCCTTTCTTCTGAACTGACCCACACAGAAGTCAAGAGTCCCACTTTTGGTTGGAAACACGGTGCTGTCAGGGGGCATTTTTCACTGCACTATGGTTCCCTGTGCACCAGTCATGACCTGTGAATGCCACTGTGCCAGAAGATTGCAAGATCCAGTGGTGTGACAGCAACTGTAGGAAAGGATTAGGGGCAGAACAGCCCATTGCCACACATGGAGAGAGGCGAACCGTGAGCTTCCATTGGACTGTTTGACAGAAGTGTGCCAAGGTTTATGTATTAGGTCACAGCCAAAAAGCTATTTTTGCTGTGCCCTTTGACCTCTTTTGGAAGGCAAGTCACGTGTTACCAATGATACACCTCAGACTTTTAACAGGCTGCCTTCACTCAAAAGCGATAACAAGTTGCTGGATATTGTGGGGCCCTGTGGAGTTTTCAATTGCATCATTCACAGTAAGACAGGAGTCTTGCACGGGAGGGGTCCAAAGAAGCTTCCAGAACACTAAAAATCTGGCCGTGAGATAAAACACAGTGTTATCCGTGCAGGGATCTGAGGTCGCCGTGGTCTCCCACAAAAGTGCCATGTTGTATGGGATTTGGAGGAGTCAGAGCTGGCTTCTGGCTAAAGAGCTTACAGAAGGTTCCATGGAAGAGAGGGCATGCAGTGTTCACCTTGTTGAGTAAACCCCAAAATCAGTGGCGTGCAATCAGGCCAAGCCAGAGACCATCTCCCCAGCAAAGTGACACACTTCCCCTTCCCCTTTCATTGGGTGGAAGGTTGTTGCCATCCCCACTCTCCACTCAACAGTCAGATCCACTGGAACCAGATGGTGTCTCTAAAAATGTGGCCTGCAGCCATCACTGCAGAGTCAGAGGTGTGACTTGCATTCTCTTTCAGAATAAGAATAGATAATGTAAAATAGTGCTGGTTGGGACTGGCTCAGAGACAAGAGAAACTGATGGATGGAAATATGTGCCCCAGGTTGTTGATCTGTGCCTTTGTTTCCTCATCATCCCCTCCAGAGAGGTAGTGCACTTCAGGAGGGTGGGGCCTGGGCTGTCTGACTCCAGGGCTGCATTTGAGCTCCCAGGCTCACGCCCAGCACCCGGCAAGTACACAGCAAATTTTTCTCCGATGAATGAGGGGATTTCTCAGAATAAAATTTTGGTGGTCAGGGATCAAGACAGCTGCTGATTCTCTGCCATCTGGAAGTCAGTCTTTTCTCAATATCCCAGCAGAGGACGAGTCTTGATTACAAGCATCGTTACCCCAGATGGCTTGCACAGATTGCCCCCTAGTTCTGAGCCCAAGGATGGGAATTCCTCCCAGCTCCCGACAGGCTGCCTTCCCACTCTGACTTACATTCGACCTCTTTGATCAGGTTCGGGCCAACCTTGCGCCTCCCAAACACATTTTATTAATCCTATTTGGTCCCTGAGAGAAGCCAAAAATTCCTGGAGAAGGTCGAATGCCTCCGCCTTGGCCAGGTCGACATTTGAGTGCACACCGCCCTCTTGTGTCTACGATGCATTTGACAACGCAATTTTCAACATCTGTTCCAGCACAGCAAAATGAAGCCTTTCAGAGCTCTTAGGCAGAAAGAGCTCAGTGTTAAAGGGAAGGGAGAACACACATGCCAGTCTGCCCAGAATGTCCAGAATAGTCCAGAATGTTGTGACGATGGTTCTGACGACCCAACCCAGAGCTTTGAAGATTAAAAAAATAATCAGGCATGATAAAATCCAAATTTAAATGCTCACAGACAGAAAAGTCTACCTTTTAGTGGAGCTGGGCATTTTCCATAAACTGAGGTTTAGACAATGATGTCGAAGGATGCAGCTGTACTCCGAGTGTTTTCATGTTCAATGTGTGCCTTCTGAATCACCTTTCACATCCTTTTTTGTGTTGTCCTTTCGCGCACCACACACACACACACATATGTGAGCTGTGTCAGGGTATAAACACGCTCACCTCTGGGGTTTGTCCTCTCAGTCACCACGTAAGACTGTTCATCTGGCTCACACACCATCTCTCGAAGAGAGAAGCCCCTCGTTTCTCTAACCCTGGCCAGTCCTCTTCTCTCCATCCCTTTAAGCAGGTGCACAGTGGGTTTCTGGCACAGCCCGACAAACCTGAGTCTGAACTTCCCACACGCACTGGCCCAAATGTGGCCTGGATGAGACGGTGGCCTGTGCCT